CCTCAGTTTACTCAGCTGGAAAGCCAAAGCTCAACACACACACTCTTTCATACACATTACACACTCAGGCTTTCCTCTGCTCTGCTCAAGACAAACTAAATCTCTGTCTTTCACTCTTTTTTGTGTGAAAATGTGCCACAGAAAGGGAATATGTCAGCTGAATAGAACAATAAATGCTGTGTGGCTGCAAAAAAACTTATGAAAGAAACAAAGAAAGTTGCGGAAACCAAAAGAGTCGTTATAGGTTTTAGTTCTTGCATTTAAGTTGAGACTTTGTCTTACTGTGTGGTGACTGTTTTAAATAAATGATAATTTTACCTACAATAAAATGTCTGTAATTTTGTAAAAAAAATTAAATTAAATAAAAAAAAAGCTGATACTATGTTTTTTAAACATCTTCAAAAAATAACCGAATGAAAAGTAAAGATAATATTTGCAAAGTCAATGTGCAGAATAAAAAGGAAAGCGTGTTTAATTACATTCCAGCACTGAAAACAACAACAACAACAACAACAACTTAAACAAAGCAGATAACACATCACAGTTTAAAGTCTCGGTTTACAAAATGAACAGAAATTGAGTTATTTCCCACAAATCTTCACTGCTCTCTGGTGGTTAACAACAAAACACAATAAAACAGAAATGATTTACAGCAAGTTTTAAATGTTCTCTTCAGTCCTTGTGACTGACTGTCACGAAGCCTAATGATAATTACATTAAGAATTGTTGTTGTTGCTGTTTACACAGAAATGGAATTACTTTATAAGGAACACTTTCTCTTGATTCTGATAAAGAGAGAAAAGAAAACAGGAAGCAATGTTGTTTAGTCACAGTTTTTATTTATGTCTACTGTATTTCAAAAAACATTAAAAAACAATTTTTTTTGAGCATCTTTACACCCTTAACAAACTTATTCTTTTGGCACAAATATTGTATAACAAAAAAAGTCATTTTCTGGGAAATGCATTGAGCGTGTGCTGAATGTCTGCTGAAATTTGTAGAAAAAGCTAAAATAGAATTGTGAAGATTAAAGAAGCTGAATATAGCTGTAAGTTAAATGTAGCAAAAGATAGGCAAAGCTCAAAGAAGCAAAGTATTAGCTAAATGCAAAAAAAAGTATTACTAAATGTAACAATAAGCTTACTAAGGTAGCATAGGTAAATGTAGCAAAATGCTAGCTAAAGTTGCCAAAGGGTTGTTAATGACTAAATGTAACAAAAGGCTAACAAAAAGCTAGAAGTAGAAAAAGGCTAGCTGAAAGTTAACAATGTTAATAAGGTCAATAAATGCACCAAAAGACTAGCTTTAAACAAAAAGTAACCAAGGTTTGCTCAAAACTAAAAGTAGCAACAACAGCAGGTTCAGAAGAGCTTTTTTTTCTAAAGAATTTAAAAAGACCTTCATACAATTTTATGGGGAAACTTAAAAAAAAAAAAAAAAAAATCATTAAGTTAAATGTTTTGGCAAGTATAAAAGTTATGAAAAACAAAAGTCATCATACCCATCCCCTGACTGAGCTAAACTTTTGATATATGAATGGTTAAAATGGCAGAGTATGTAGAAGGGGAAAACAAATAGAAAAATAAAAATCAGGCAAACAGTGAAAACTGTGAATTAGCATTTATACAGTAAAAATGATTACAATAAGCACCTTCTACTCTTGAGCCTGAGGTGATGTGAGGATATTAAGAACAGTTATTTATCATTCTGTCTTTTATGATGTGAGGATTTGTGTTTTCTAGTGTGTGTCTCCCTCTTGTGGTCTGCCCTCTTGTCTGTGGTCTGTCCTGAGACAGTCTGTCCTGACAACCCACAAAGCCAGAGAAACACTGAGGAGAGTGTTTCTCCCACTTGTAATCAGCTTCTTCCTCCACCGCCTGTTCTCCTTCCCCAGGTGTTTGTCATTGTCTATTTGTTATATAAGTCTGCATCTCTGTGTTCCTCACTGGTCATTGTCCTGTATGGAGTTTTATTTCTGCCTCCTTCCATGTCTCTCCCATGCTCATGTAAATTGTTGCTGCCACGTCAGCCCTTTTGTTTATTCTAATAACTAACCTTTGACTTTAATCCCGAGTTCTCAGAGTCCAGCCTGCACATGGGTTCAACCAAACAGCAAAGACTTGACAATACCAAAATATGTTCATATAAAATATGTTTGTTTTTTGTATTCTGTTCATACATAATTGTGCATATGTGGGAGTTAGTGGCGGAATGGCAATCGAGAGCACCGGGTCACTTCTCGGTGACCTGGCCCGCTCAGTGGTTGCTCAGGGACTGGACTAAAGGCTCAGTTCGGGTCATGCTTGATTATTTAAAATAAACAAGCTGCTCTTGCCCGGGCTCACTCAGGTCTCACTGAAGCTCCCTCGCCCTTACACTCACTTTCTGAGGCTGTGTCGGTCACAGAGCAGAGACACACAGGTTGTGCGCCCGCCACCGTGGACTCGCGCTTGCGAGGGTTATATGTTCGTGTGCGTTGCGCACATCTCTGGGTCACATAGCTTGTAGAATGGAGCGAGAGAGACAGCCAAAGAAGAGGAAAGGTGGAGCAGAGAGAGAGAGTATATAAAAGAGAAAAGCACTCACCACTGATGCGGCAAAGTGCAGGGAATTACTGTTTGTTCATAAGGGAGAAGGCAAGTTAGAAACATTCTAATTCATGCTCAATAATCCAGGTAGAAAAATCCAACAAAGTTAATTCAGGTCTTCTGGACAGTTTCTACTTCCAGAAACCGTCCAGAGAGGACCTGACTTAACTTTGTTGGACAAAACAGAAACAAATGGGGTGACAAGTGAAAACTCTGGCATAGCCTGTCAGCCTGTGCAAACTGGAGTGGACAAGTTAGTTCCACTTTTTTCATTCAACCTTTATTTATACAAGTTAGTTCCCATTGAGCCTCAAGGACTCATTTACAAGAGAGACTTGTTTCAGACAGACAAAAGTAGATAAGGAAAGGGTGGGGGAGAAAAATCAACAAACATTCACTCTCTCACTCACACCTAGGGACAATTTAGAGTTACCAATCAGCCTAACATGCATGTTTTTGGTCTGTGGGAGGAAACCGGAGCACCCAGAGAAAACCCACGCATGCACGGAGAGAACATGCAAACTCCACCCAGAAAGGCCTCTGGACTGGGGTTTGAACCAAGGACCTGCTTGCTGAGAGGCAGCAGCTCTACCAGTTGCGCCACCGTGCTGCCCCTTGTATTATATTATTTTATTTAATCTTTATTTTACCAGGTAATGTCCTGTTGAGATTAAGAACATGTTTGTTGTTATATGAACATAGCTAATACATATAACTAGTCCATCCATCCATCCATCCATCCATCCATCCATCTTTACCCGCTTCTTCCTTTTTGGGTTGCAGGTGTCACCGCGACCCCCATGTGCAGCAATCACTGTGCGAGAGGCAGGGTACACCCTGGACAGGTTGCAAGTCCATCACAGGGCCACGTAGAGACAAACGAGACAAACAACCATTCACGTTTTTGGTCTGTGGGAAGAAACCGGAGTACCCGGAGAAAACCCACGCATGCACCGAGAGAACATGCAAACTCCACCCAGAGGGGCTCCCCAGACCGGGGTTTGAGCCGGCAACCTTTTTGCTGAGAGGCAGCAGCTCTACCAGTTGTGCCACCGTGCTGCCCCTGTTAGTAACAGGATTTTTTTTAGTTTTATTTAATTTTATTCCTGTCTTTTTTGCCTTAATTTTGGCTGATAAGGCAAACATGCCTCACTAAATGCCTCAGGTAACGCTGTGAGCTTCACTACCTCCACCATTACAGCTATCTTTGTTTGTTTGCCTGAGGTTAGCTAGACAAACAAACCTTCAACCTGTCTGCATACAGATCCACTACAGTACCTGATTAATGCTTTACTTTACATTATTGTCATTGCCATAATAAAAACAGTTATGGATAGCAACAAAATTTTTGAAGGAGAATCATACGCATAAAGGACTTTGCAAGGTTCTGGTGATCAGTGTAAACACATATAATAATACATCTAAGGGCAGGATATAGAAGAGGGGAAAAACTGTAAACAGCCACATGTTGAAGGGTAGTAGTTGGTTGCTGCAGCAATGCAATAGCCATTTCACAGTTATTGTCATGATGAGATTTGAGATGTAAGGATAACGGGCGGGGTCACAGACAGATGTTATTCATTTAACAGTTTCACAGTTTGTGGGCACAGACTGTGAGCCATTCTTTCGGTCCTGGCACATATAGACCAGTACTTTCTGCCTGAGGGTAACAGATGGAAAAGGATGGTACCTGTCCCGCAGGATGTTGCTGACTCGTCTCAGACTGCGGGTTGTATAGATAGTTCTGATCTCCGGGAGGGTAATCCCGATGATCTTCCCAGCTGCTATAAGCACCTGCTGGAGATCCTGCTGGTCCACCTCAGTGCAGCTGGAGAACCACACTAGGAATTCATAGGTTAATACACTTCCAATAGCACAGTTATAGAAATTGATTATAAGCTGCTTACCTCACTGCCTTCATCGCCACCATCATACATACCTGGAATCCTCTGCCCTTCTCTCTACTCCAATGGACCATATTACCTAAAACCCAAACATCTCCCTCCTTTACAGATCCTCCCAGTGTCTCCTGCAAATACTTCACTGTAAATAAGCATTACTTACCTTTATATCTGAGTTGAGTCTGTGCTCAGATCCTCTGCTCTGGGTGTTTACTACTGCAGTTATCACAGTGAGATGGTTTTTCATGTAAACGAGGCCTTCGTAAAATTCTGGCATGAAAGGTGGCGGGTGATATGTATTCCTTAAAAGAACGATTGACTTTGATTTAAACTTGTTTAAACTTGTTTTTTGTTTAAATATGTTTAAATATGTGTTTAGGTAACCAAAATGTGCTGAAATCTCAAACTTTGGATTCTTATCAGTCTCCTGTACAGATGAAAACACTGGTGTGTTTGAGCTCTACAAACAGAACCTTTCCTACTCAGGTCCAGAGATCAGACACAAGGATAATACCAGAGGTCCCTGTCCTGTTTTGATCAGGGTCTCTGTCTGAATCCTCCAGAAAAGATGGTCTCCGGTCTATTCCTGCTGACGATGCTGGTCTGCGGTCTGGTTGGTGCCCAGCCGGAGGGGCTGGAACCCCGGGTGGAGAAACTGGAGAAGGCGAATGATGAGTTGGGTGAGTCTGTCGAGTGATTGTCAGAGCTTCTGTCAGATTATTGTTCATTAAACTTGCCCTCTGACCTCCTGCAGTGAAGTCTCAAGTGGCGTTCTCTGCTGCACTCGTGGAAAGTGACGCCTGGACCGTTCTGGGTCCGTTTGAACAAGATCACACTCTAAAATTTGAGAGGGTGGTGACAAACATCGGCAATGGATACGACCGCCAAACAGGTACGACTCACCTGGTCAGGCAGAAGGTCATTAGATTAAAAAACAACATAAATGGACCTTCCTTGGGGCTGCAGTAGCTTGGTGGTCAGTACAGCAGTCTTGCAATCCTGAGGTTACGGGTTCGAGCCCAGGTTGTGTCAGGATGGGCATCCAGCGTAAAACAATTGCCAAATCTTTCAAGCAAATTCGCTCGCTGTGGCAACCCCTGAAGAACAGAGCAGCCGAAAGAAACTTACTAGAAATGGACCTTCCACCTGAACCTGCTAAAAAATACAAACTTCAGCTTTAATGGCTGAGGTGACATTCCATGTTTTGTTCACCTGTTTGTTTCTTTCTCAAACAATTTGTCTAAAAATGGATAAATGACGGGGCAGCACGGTGGCGCAACTGATAGAGCTGCTGCCTCTCAGCGAGCAGGTCCCTGGCCCAAACCCCGGGCCAGGGGCCTTCTGGGTGGAGTTTGCATGTTCTCTCCGTGCATGCGTGGGTTTTCTCCGGGTACTCCGGTTTCCTCCCACAGACCAAAAACATGCATGTTAGGCTGATTGGTAACTCTAAATTGTCCCTAGGTGTGAGTGAGAGAGTGAATGGTTGTTTGTCTCGTTTGTTTCTATGTGGCCCTGTGATGGACTTGCGACCTGTACAGGGTGTACCCCGCCCCTCGCACAGTGATTGCTGGACATGGGCACCAGCAACCCCTGTGACCCAAAATGGAACAAGCGGGTAAAGATAATGGATGGATGGATGGATGGATGGATGGATGGATGGATGGATGGATAAATGACTCCTGATCTCCTGAAATTCTTTAGGTCAGGGTTGAGAAGACATTTATCTTTGATGGAAATACTTTGGGTCACAACAAATACCTTCAGTCCTTCTGTTTCCCTTCAGGTATCTTCACAGCTCCGGTTAAAGGGCTCTACTATGTCCACATGACCGGAATGGCCGGCAGCTCAGGGGAGATGAACGTTGGACTGAAGAAGAACGGTGTAAATATGTTCGCCATCCACCATAAAGCAGGAATCCAGGCCAGCGCCTCCAACAGCATGACTCTGGCCCTGGAGCAGGGGGACAGACTCTTCGCCCAACTCTGGGCAGGTCTTACCATCGCAGATCAGAGTCACCTCAGCACCTTCACCGCCTTCCTGGTCTTCCCCATGTAGAGATTCACCAGACTCTATGAGGAGAGTCCTCCTGAATCCTGAGACAGACCTGGGTCTGTTCAGAACTCAACAGAAACTCCAAACCAAGTTTTAGATCAAATTGCATTTTAGACGCTGCCAAGTGAAGATCTAAAGAGCAGCTTTAGAGCTGAAACTACATGTCTGTTAAAAAATAAAATCCTTCACCTGCTTCTTGTTGACAAAACATTTGTGAAATATTATCAAAAAAGATGTTTCATAAAAAATGTTTGGGTGAAGACCGTCATTTATGAGCTGTATCAGATGGGGCCCCTGTAGCTTGGCAGTCATTGACACAGAAAGGCTGGAATCCTGGAGGCATTAAAGTTTCCAGAACATTATAGTAGTCATCGCCTCCCTCCCCCAAGTAAAAAATATTGAAAATAATGAAAATTGTCCCTCTCCCCCCAGTAAAATAAAAAAAATACCTTTGAAGTAACATAAAAAGCAAAGTATAATGCGCACACAAACACATTGATATATTTATGCCTCTGAAGTATAATGCATAAAATTATCTCTTTTGGGATGTTTGTAAAGTTGTTTTTTTAAGTAACACGTTAGGGAATCTTATGAATCTTATTTTTATCAGTTACATTACGTTTTAGTAACAGCTGGTTGGTACACAACTATTGGAAGATTGGAGTGCAAACACAAAAATGTCAGGAGCAGAGGTCAAACAGGTAAATATTAATTCCACCTAAAGAAACTGGAAGACAAACCAGTGATGGACTGGCCATCAGGAACGCCGGGACATTTCCCGGTGGCCTGGCCCACTCAGTGGTCACCGAGGGGTTGGACTAAAGGCTCCGTTTGGGTTGCACTTTATTTTTAAATAAACAAGCCGCTCTTGCTGGGGTTCACTCAGGTCTCACCTGCAGCAGTGATGGGTAAAGACAGACACCTCCCGCCGCTCCTCCTTTCTTTTTCTGAGGAGGCTGTGTCTGCCACTGCAGAGCAGAGACACACTGGTTGTGCGCCAGCAGTAAATTAATGTTTGTTCGTAAGGGAGCAGGTGAGACAGAAACACTGGTAAAAAGTAACAAGCAGTGAGTGGGGGCTTCAGGTTATACGGCTGTAAAAGCCTCACTGCTTGTTGAATTGAGAAAGCTCCTCGGATGAGGAGCGAAACGTCTTCTGTTACAAATAAAGTCCAGTTGTTTTTGTATTGAACATTTTTGGATTTATCATTTCCTGGATGACTGAGAATCTTCACCAACATAGTCAATACATATAAATAATCAATTAGTGAAAATGAACAGATGGGAATTTATGACATGTAATTCAGACACGTGCCACCCTGAGCGTTTAGAGGGTGGATACAGTTTATTCCATTTCAAAAACTAAACAAAGTTTTGGAAAATGTAAAAGATGATAAAAACCAGTGGCTGAACTCATGAGCAGCTGAATATGACAGTTATAAACAGGAAGTACCACATGTTTATTTGTACAAAGCAACTAAATCCTTCATTTTTTGTCATAATTACATTGTATGCTTAATGGTTGAATTTAAGGTTAATGCTTAAAGTTAGTTATGCTTCGTTTTGAGTGTTTTATATGTAGATATATGTTGTAACTTCTGGTTGCATTAGTTTAGTTTTTGTTAAATCTAAACAGATTTTGCACAAAGTGTTAAATAGTTTTTGTGTAATGTAAAATTTACACTCTTACATAATGAACTTCACTGTGTGGTCTTGCTGTGTCACTCGGTGGCATGAAAACATCCATGACAGTAACTAATTTAAATTATTATTAGCTTAGAATTTATTTTATTTTATTTTTGCTTGTCTTTTTTGCCTTAATGTTGGCTGATAAGGCAAAAATGCCTCACTAAGAACTTTGAGCTTCACTACCTCCACCATTACAGCTATCTTTGTTCTTTTGTCCGAGGTTAGCTCACCCTGTGTTACATTTCCTCGTGGGCGAAGCGATCTTATAGTTTACGTAAAATATTTGATAATGTTCTTATAGAAACAATTCCTGAATGTTGTTCATACTGTGTTAATGCTACAAGTTTGCCTCTTGACCCTACAACTGGGTAATGTTACGATAGACCGAGCCCACTACTGGAGTTTTAATTAGATATTTTAAGCTACTAATAAACACGATGGATGATGATCATATTGCTTTATGCAAGACCATTGGTAAGAAGGAGTGACTATTATTATTATTTCATACTGACTAGTGATTTTTTTCTCCTAAAACTTAACTTAGGCTACACTATGTTTCTTAGACTGTGACTAGAATGAGTGAGAGAAGTGGAGCGTGCTCTATTCACACAAGGAGAGCTGTTGGTCAGGCTGCTTGTTGTTGTGCCATTAACTCACAAAATAATTATTGAATCAAGTGTTAGTTCTAGGTAAAACTAGACGTTTAACAACCCGTTAAAATACACCAGAATGCAGGAAATGGCATCTACTTTATTCAAAATTTTCTGGGGGAGGACTAATCAAAGCTCCTGCTTTAAAATATAGAATCAATGAATTTACCTAAATATGAGGTAAAGCTGCAGTTTGTTTCTGTGAATCTCTGTAAATCAATATATTATCAGCAGATAGTTGAAGTCTTGGTTTTCACCCATCATTACATTTGCAACATGCCTCAAATACAACAATATATGATATAATAATAATAATATAACAGATATGTTACTGCAGAATAAGACTGTGCAGACTGAGACGTTGCTGTATGAATGTGGATTATTGTTGCTTAATTGGCCAACAGGACTAAAAACATGCAATAGGCACACGCATATGACTACAATTTGTAAAATCATTCATTCGTTCTGTGTGGTATGGATTGCTGGTAATCATGAGAGTGATAAACACTGTGGGTGTGCAGTCAAAAACCAATAAGACATCCAAGTCCAATCCAACGCTTTTATTGCTTTGAACATAGGTTTAGGATGAACAGACATATAAAATGTTGGTTTTAACAGTAGTTGCGTGACAAGCTTCTTTTTTGTTGTTGTCTAAAAAGATAAAAAGTACATAAATATTAGGATTGGTCAATGCATCAACAGCTGAAGCACCAAATTTACAATTTCCTGAAGTAGCATACAGTTAAGTGACCTCTGTTATTAAAGTATTTTAGTGTGTTATGAGTACTGCAGGTCAGTTTTTGCAGGAAATCTTCATAAAATATGATCATTATACCTAAACAGAGGTCTGGAACAGAAGTAGGAGCAAGCATGTGTATTAGATGTGAAAAATACTTGATCTTGAAAATTCATCCATTTACTGTTAGCAGTTTATCAGATTTCACAAATGACCAGCAGGTGGCAGCAAATTCTCTTTTCAATGCAGCACTGTTCTGAAAGAAAACCTGCAACAGGAACAGGAGAGTAATTTAAAATGTCACTTAATGTTGAATAGTCTATCTAAGGTTGTGTGACTGAATTTTCACATGAAAGCTTTGCATCAATCAAGATCTGATAGTAATAAAATCAGACAGAAATTTTGTTTCTCATGTGGTAACTCAGTTGCAAGACATTTGCAACAAAATCATCTCCCTTTGGTCTTGTTTTGCTCCATTTCTGGATTTCATGGAGCTTCTGCCTACCCTTGTTCCCCAGATCCTAATCTGTTTCTCTCTGTCACAACTCTGTTAGATCCCTCAGCGAACAGGAAGCATAAAACTGTGAACTGAAGAGAAGAGCAGGAGCCAAAACGTTACAAGATGATCACTGCTCCAAACCTTTAACTTTACAAGTGGCTGCAACTCATTCACTTTTATTTGTTTGATACGGCGAGGTTCCTGTTCAGTCTAACCTCAGCATCAGGTCATGGGAACAGTTGGAGGAAATGCATGCTTACTGCACAACTTGGTAAACAACAATAAACACTTTATGCACATTTTTGTCTCACAGAGATGAGAATTTGAGTAAATATTTGTCCTGAGCTCCACCAACATGCCAAAGCAACTACCGTAATAACCCAATTTATTCTGAAAGGGTGAACAACATCAGTTTAGTCTGCAGAGAGTAAAAACACACACAAGTGAGAAGACATTTTATTTCTTCAGCCTGCAGGAGCACAACTGGATGAGCGTAAGAATGAGAAAACTCCAAGAATCTGAGAGCTTTTCCAGAAGGTTAGATGGCATCGGTTCGTTTTATTGGCTACACATGATGTGGTGATGATGCTCACCAGCAGGGCCCGCCTACTTTTTATAGTTTTTTAAATTTTTTTAATAGTCTGTGCAGAACTAGAATCTTTGGTCTGTCGGAGCATCTGTTTCTGCCCTGCTTCTTGGCAAGAATTGTCTGCACTTTTATTATTTATGTGTGTGTGTGTGTGCGTGCATGCATGTGTGCGTGCAAGTTTTGTGTTTGTATGACTTCATTTGAAGAAGTGACACCCCTGGGTACAAAAAAAAAAAACCCACTAGCCTTTGTCCTCCCACACATGCTCAGTTCCGTAAGCACATGAATATGTACACGTGCATGCCCGCACACTCAAATACAGTAGAAATGTTGATGCACAGCTTCATGGAAACGTGTTTTTTTTTTTTTTTTAATTCTACAGCTGTCCGTTAGAAATACACCTGTTTGGTTTAAATTCATTACAACCCGTTAAGCAACATAAACATCCATTCTTATGAGAATTCTCTTTTTTTTCCTTCACATTTTGAAAATGATGCTAGCCATCTTCAGGATGTGATCCAGTCCTCGTGCACACCAGAAATGCATGGAGAATAAATAACGTTGTGCTCGTTTTCATTCCAGCTTCAGCTCATCGTCTGTTTTGTTACTGTCCCCTCCTCAGGCAGCAGATAAGACGGACATCTCCTCCAGCTTCAGTGTCTTTTCAAGTGTGAGAACCTTCATGGTGTACGTCTGCACGTCTCCGGGTCAGAGTTCGTCTCGTGATGCTCGAGCTGCAGGAGGTGGCGAGTCTCCGGTGACGCTGTTCTGTGCCATGGGCCGGATGCGGCCTTGCTGGGCCGTCTTGCGGGCGTGCTGCCGGTCCCAGTCTGTGGCCACGGCGTCATCGTCCCAGATGGTGGAGGTCTCCGTGTCACTGATGTAGCCCGGCTCTCCGGTGTAGTGGGTGGGGTAGATGAGTAGTGGCTCCAAGGAGAAGGCCCTCAGGTCCCGGCGCTCAAAGTGAGACATGTACTGAGCGCTGAGGGGAGCAGAGGAAGAGAGAGAGGTGAGAGAAACATTTGGTGTAATTTAATGAAATTAGTATTTTTAATGAACAATTTTTCTTCTGTACGTTTTTCGACACGATTCTCGTCTCACACTTTTCAAGATATTTCAACAAGTCATATCAAAATGTTCAGCTCAGGACAATCCTGCTATGACTTTTGGTGTTGGTGCAATTTTAGCTTTTTCAAATATTTAGCCTTTTCTGCCATTTTTTCCTCATAGAAAATGAACTGAGCTCATTTTACATCCTTCATTTCTTTAGATTTGTTTACAACCTTTTACTGCTCCGTTCACATTTTGTTACAGTTCAGCTTCTTTGTGTAAATTTAAACTTTTTTTCAGCTACTTTCAACTAATTTCAGCTGTTTTTTCAGCTGTTTTGTGCTCCTTTCAGATTCTTTTTGCTAACTACAACAATTTTATACTTGTTCCAACTTATTTCTGCTAGTTTTTTATTTTTTATTTTAATCTGCTGGCTTAGAGAACTTTACTAAGTGGCTTTTCTATGTATGTGAATGTTCCTGTAAAGTGCTCTGAGACAACTTTGGTGTGATTTGGTGCTATATAAATAAACTGAATTAAAATAAAATTTCAACTTGTTATGCTCCTTTCAGCTGATTTCTGCAAGTTTAATCTTTTTTCGCTATTTCAGCTACTATTGAGTTGTTTTTATGCAAATTTTAGATTTTTCAACAAATTCCACATTTTTTGCACTCATTTCAACTTTTTTCAGTCTAATTCAGCAACATTGGGTTTCGTAAATGTGCTCTCTCCACTTCCTTCTGGTTATTTAAGCTTCTTTCTGCCTTTATAGTTACTTTTCAGCATTTATTTTTAGCTAATTTCAGCTATTTTCAGAAAAACGAGTTTTCATGGTAATTCCTGCTACTTTTAGCCTCATTAACTTATTAGTTTTGCTAATTTCAGCTTGTGCTTGTTTCAGCTTTTTCTGCTATTTCAGCTACTGTTTAGCTGTTTTTATGCTAATTTTAGCATTTTCAGTTAATTTCAAATTTTTGGAGCTCCTTTCAGCTCTTTCCACTTCCGTCTTGTAGTTTAACCTTATTTCTGCCTTTTCAGCTAATTTCAGCTGTTATTTTGGCTAATTTCAGCTTTTTTTAATCTGAATTCCTAATTGTTGTGCACATTTCTGCTTCTTTAAACCTAATTTAGAACATGTGTTCTTTCTGCTTTACTCTGCTAAAGTAGGCTTAATTTTCTATTTCAGCTACATTTTAGCCATTTTTTTTTTAGCTATTTTCAGCTGTTTTTCAGCAAGTTTTTCTGCAATAAGCATTCACACTGCATTTTCACAGGAAATGCAATTTCTCTAGTTTTATTTACTGTCTGTGCAATGCAAAACTCAAACTCATACTATTTAATGTGAAGTAAATATTTTGCTAACATTTAGTGTACAAAGCAGAAATGTGGCTTTTTTTCTGTAAAACAATGTTTAACTCTTTAAAATATATTTTTAAAGCTGTAACCAACCACATTTCTGTTGTTTTTCTTGTGTTTGTATTAAAAAAGCAACACACATATAGATTCATAAAACCAGACATGGACATTTCTTCAACGTGAATAACTTTACTGAACAATATAGTCAGATAATGTTGAGTGGATGGTCTTTAAACCCTCGTTCACATCCTGTCACACCCGCCCATACACATTAATGTTGATGCAAATCTGTGCTCATGATCTGAGGGAACAAATTACTGCGTTTCGTTTTTATTTCTACACTGCCACATGAAACACTCTAAAGATAAAGCTACCTCATAAAAAAAAAAAAATCTCTAATTTATAATTGTGTTTTGATTCTAGGTTTAATTTATTTCTATTCAACAAATATTTTTTTTACAAGTTTTAGACCAGAACTAGAATTCATTAACTGAATAATTATTCCCAAAATTAATCAAGGTTGCAATAAAAGGTACAACCCAGTACTTACCTGCTAGTAACGTTACCTCTGTGCTACTTTTCAGGTAATTATGGTGCTTTTTTTTTTTTTTTTTACTACTACAGCTGTATTTGAGTGGTACTAACAAAGTACATGAGCTTTATATATTGTACAAGTAAAAAAAAAGGAAAGTAGCATTTCTTTAAAAAATCGTCCACAGCCACACATGCAAACGTTTTTAACAAAGATCTTGTGTAAGTGCTTTGAGTATATGTCAGGAAATACTCTCAGCTACTACCACACCAATTTTTGGCTGAATATTTGTAAAACTGGCTGACTTAGTGACTTTTTGGGCTTACTCAGGTAAGCTGGCTGTGGCAGCCTTCTTGAATGGGTTGACTCCAAAATGCAATCACTTGCAGATGTACACCTAATATTAGTTTCTGAGAGTTTTAATAAAAAAAAATAAAAATAAAAAGTTTAAGAGATATTTTGTTAACAGACAAGCAAACACACACAGCTAGGCAATTACATGATTTCATGGCAACAAACTAATTAGGAAAGAAACACCTCAATTAAAGTCCATCAGAACTGAACAAATGCCTTCAACATGCAGTGATAACACTTAGACAATCAGCAACATATCCATCATGTTCAGGTCAGTTTGACTCACTTTGACTTCATGTGAACAGTTATCAGTAAGTGGCACTAAGTTCTGGAGTCATGACCCGCCTGCAGCTGAGCCGAGGGAAGTGCTGGAGGCTGCTCAGGTAGTGACACGTCATCCACACAACACTACCCTGCACAGTAAACCCCTAAATCTTTATCAAAACTCTGAGGAACTTAGCTATAATAATATTACACCCCCCCCCCCCCCCCCGATACACACACACACTTTTACACAATGAATCCTTTTACAGTGAACTCCCTGTTTTCTTCTTTCTCTCGTTTCTGTACATTTATGAGCAGAAAAACAAAAAAAAACAGTACGTGGTAACACAATTGTCGAAATAATTCCCACACACTTTTATAGATTTTAGGATCATTACAGTGCTTTCCTGGCTATTCAACACACTTTCTCCATAAGTTGAACACACATCTAAAAGGTATTTATAAAGTATTACACGTGCACACGCACACACACACACACACACACACACACACACACACACACACACACACACACACACACACACATACATGTGGAGTGTTCACCCCACCCCAATGCTCTGAGCTCAATCAATGGGATTCCTGTCCCTCTTCACCAACCAGCAGGAAGAGCCATGCTGGTCCACATTCCTTAAAGAGAGAGAGGGGGAGAGGAAAAAGGAGAGGAGAAGGGGGTGACACGGGGATGGAGAAAGGGTACAAAAAAGTAACTTCTGTTGAGGAGTGAAGAAAAGGACAACTTCAAAGAGCCGAGTCAAGCATTGTGAAAGATATATGAGCCAGGAAAGGGATCAGAGCTCGGCAGGAATAGAGACCCCACGTACAAAAAAGGGGCGTTGTTTGTCCCGCGTGAGGCACCGTACCCAGCAAGCCCTCAGAACAATCTGAGCCCTGTTTGTGAGGGGACAAGAAGAGGAAGGCAGTGCTGAAGAGACAGGGAAACTGAAGAACATTAATACGAGCTGAACAGGATGGAGGCTGTGGTTTACCACAAACATGAACGTTACACGATGTCCCGCAGTCTAAAAAGTCACATAAGTGTGTTTGCGGACTAGTAATACTGCCAACAACAAGAAGCTGAAAAGACTTAAATGTTTGTTCCCAGTTATATCTTTGTTTATCTCACTGTTATATTAAAGAAAGCTGAAGTAAAGACTGACTTGGGGTGTTTGTTGAACATGACGGGAAGAAATTCGTCGACGGGGAGCATCTTGGCCAAAGGCTGAGCAGCCAGTAACTTTCTGGCTCCTTGCTGTGACAGCGCGTAGGCGAGGGTCCAGTAGGAATAGTCGGCCTCAACCAAGTTGTTTACACCCTCCACTGACTGCTCTGGCTGCTGCACCTGCATCCGTTTACGCCCCACGTAGCTGAAGAAAGAATAAGAAAGACATAGCATGGTTTTTGCACATAAAGCTCCAGATTACGAAGTCTAATCCAGCCATAGATTCAAGTAAAAAAAATGTAGAGTTCTTACATGAGGTCCCAGTCCAGCTGGGTTCTGTCTATGTCATCCATGATGGCCTGAAGCCTCCGTTTAAACCTGGGCTCAAACCTCACATCATCCTCTAAAACTAGAACCTTCTGGAGGCTGCGTTCCACCACCTGACCATCAGAGAACATGAACAAGTTAAAGATGAACACAGTGCCACATGTTCAGTTTGCTTCTTTTTTATTTGAGGTTATCACTCCTAACTAACCAAATATGAATGAAAGCTGTCTTTTTTTTCCAAATCATGTTTTAAATAAGATGTATGAACCACCTTAACATAACACTGATCCATGTCTATATATCAGAGTCAGAGTCAGAGTTTCTTTATTGTCATTCGCACCTCATGTGGTACATGTGGTGGAGCGAAATTATGTACACGGGGTCCCAGTTACATCCAACAATAAAATGTATAAGAAAAACAGTAATAACATCTAAGATATGAACTAAGAAAAACATCAACTAAATATACACTAAGCACTCATAACACAAAAACATTGAACATCAGCACAAACATGAACATGAGTCTGTGAGCAGATGTGCACGCATGAACACATCAACATTGAAACAGATCAGCAGCAACATGAAACAGATCAGCAGCAACATGAAACAGATCAGCAGCAACATGATATGGTTTTTCACAGTGATTATTCTAGTTAGAGATTCATGAGTCTAACAGCCTCAGGGTAGAAGCTGTTCCTCAGTCTAGTGGTTATATATATATATATATATATGCAGCACATTGTACTGTATATTTGGACAAACAAACATTAAACTGTTCAGTTATGTTTTGATCTAAATCAGGAGGAGAGGACTCTATAACCACACCAGGAATGTGGTGTAAAGACTTAAAGCTGAGTTTAGGCTTAAACGAGAGATACATTTTTTAAAACTCCATTTTGTTTTTCTATCAGTTAGTTATTTTGACTATCGGTATTTCTGCTTTGCAAAGGTTTTCACACAGGTCATTAATGGTAACAAACCACAGACTGTATCAGCATAAAAACACAAGTTTATTTTAAAAAAACAAGAGTGAGCAAAAATATTAGTGGAGCGAAGATTCATTTCCTGAGCCACTAACCACATAAATTATTTTTTGTTTGTGTTTGTGCACAAGCCTTTTTTTTTTTTTTTCATCCTCCCGTGGGTCAAAGTTGTGTCTCGTGAAAAAAACGTCCGGTCTAATAAATGAGAGAAATGTACACCTTCCACACCCACATCCACTCAAAATGGTGATAATTTGACCTCTTCAGTGCTCAAAATTGTTTGGATGTGTAAAAGTTTTTTTTGACTATTATATAAATATAAATAAATATTAAAAGTGAAAAATGATGTTGGAATATATCATCACCATATTAAATAAATGTTCCAACAGGGACCAAACCCACAGATTTCTGCATACGAGACCACTGGTTAAACATTGACCCATAACAGCCACATTAACACGTCACCACAGAAGTGGTTAAATAAGATCCTACCATGTTGATGAAAATGTCATAGTTTTTGTCTGTCCTCCTCAATATTTTATTTTGGTCCCCTCCGTTTGTTCCAAATGGATTTAAACAGAATATCTCCACTGTTGGACTCAGCAGGTTTCACTGCAGCTTGGTGCTCACGTCAGGTTTAGTTGTGGTCATATCAAAGTGCTATAATCAGCTGAATGTGTCCACTGGATGCCCCCAATAAATTTCTATTGGAGTTGGCTATCTGGATCACTGGTGACTAGGGGTTGAACGAGTATATAATTTTTAAACTCGACATTAACATAATAAAACCCGAGTAGAGCTCGAGTATTTGATGACGTCATAGATCTCAAGATACAAAAATAAATAAATAAATAAAACCGCAAAAAAAGGTAATTATTTACAAAAAAAAAAAAGATCAACAAAACATTGGGAGCGTATATTATGCTCCTACCATTTATCATACTACAAAAAAGTCACAGGAAAAACTAAACTATTAGTTATTATTATTGAACTGCAAACGTGAAGAAACACGCAGCACATCAAAAATGAAACTTAAACCGAAACTGGTTCTGGTTCGGTGTGTAGTATGTCATATATGGATATATATTCATACTTTTCACGAGTTCC